CCTCGAACTCAGAAATCTGCCTGCCTCTGCCTCCCGAGTGCTGGGATTAAAGGTGTGCACCACCACTGCCCGGCGAAACAGGGTTTTTCTATGTAGCCCTGGCTGTCCTGCAACTTGCTTTGTAGACCAGGATGGCTTTGAACTCAGAGATCTGCCCACCTCTGCCTCATGAGTGCTGGGATTAGATTCGTGCACCACCATCTCCTAACTCTCTTTATGTGGGCTCTGGAGATGGAATTCAAGTTCACAAGTTATGTGGCAAGCAGTTTCCTGACTGAGTTGTCTCTGTGTCCTAAATTTGTACATTTCTTTCTTTAAAATTACATGTATGTATGTATGTATGTATGTATGTATGTATGTATGTGTGTGTGTGTGTGTCACACAGGAGTATCAAAGGACAACTTGGAAGAGTTAATTTTTTTCCCTTCTACCACATGGATCCGGGGATTGCACTCAGGTCATTACCTTGGTTGTAAATTCTGTGGTCATTTGAGTCATCTTGCTTGCCCCAAGTCTGTACATTCCCTGAGAAGATGGGTATAGCTGTTACTACTTTTCAGTTCTAAGTTTATGTAAGAGATTGGAGTGCAGCTGTGTTTGTAGACTGTGGCCACAAGCCCTAAGGTCTGCTAACTCTACAGCATAAGCAGAGTAAGTCTGTCTTCATGCACAGGTAGCCCATCTACTGGGACATGTGACAAAGGGGACTTACTCTAAGATAGACCCAATCCTCTGTTGACTCCTGGAGTCCCATTGTATAATTAAGGTTTTCAAAATTTTGCTAAAAATCCAGCAATATCAAATAAAGCTTAGAGTCTCTTCATGCAGACACGTTTCCTGAGGCAGAAAGGATGTGGTGAGGTAAGACGCAGAGGGAGAGAGGAGGCAAAGGTATTTCCAGAATAACCTCAGTGCAAACTCTGCAAGCTCGCTGTGACCAGCATTGGTTTCACAGCTGTAGGTGCTAAATGTGAGTGAGGAGCGAGGGCTGAAGCTTCCCCTCTCCATTTCCTTTGTCCAGAAATCACTATCATTTTTTATTGAATATTTTTATTTACGTTTCACATGTTATCCCTTTCCAGGTCTCCCCTCTGGAAACCCCCATCCCATCCCCCCTCCCCCTGCCTCTATGACGGTGCTCCCCCACTCCCCCACCCATTCCTGCTTTCTCGTCCTGGCATCCTTCTATACAGGGGCATCGAACACCCTCAGGCCCAAGGGCTGCTCCTCCCCCTGATGTCCAACAAGGCCATCCTCTGCCACATACGTGGCTAGAGCCATGGGTTGCTCCATGTGTATTTTTTGGTTGGTGGTCCAGTCCCTGGAGCTCTGGGGTGTCTGGCCTGTTGACACTGTTCCCTCCACGGGGCTGCAAGCCCCCTCAGCTCCTTCAGTCCCTTCTCCAACTCCTCCACTGGTAGAAATCATTATTTATGCAAAAAAATCTAGTGAGCCCAACAGCAGAGAGTTGACGATTGTGAGCTTAAGATGGGAGGATAAAGTGGACCTTTCTTTTTCAAATATTATGCATTTTCTAAATTTTCTGTAGTGAATGTCATAAAAAATGGTCTAAGCTGCCATATATGGTTTCCTTAGAAGTCTGCAGTTCTAAGACTCCAGGAACTGGGCAAGCAAGGCAAGAACTGCTCCGCTGAGCTATGCCCTTAGATTTCAAAGACACACCATGTCCACATAATCTTAAGAGAAAATATCCACAGTCCTGCATACAGTCTGATTCTCAACCATGCGCACAGAGGGTCAGCCAGGGGTTAGCTGGATGTGGGGCTATTGTTTTCAGTTTAGTATTTTGGTTTGTTTTTGTTGTTGTTTGTTTTTTGTTTTGGGTTTTGTTGTTGTTGTTGTTGTTTAGATTATTAGCTGGGGGGAGAATTTGCTTTTACTTTTATGAAAATGTCCTTTACTTTTCTGTGTTTTCTGAGTTGCCCATGTCTTCTTAAGGTTTTCCTAAGCTTCCAGTTGATTTTTACTTCTACCATTGAGTCACGATCTGCCCCCCTCCCCGCTCATTACCGATTGTGTAATAACTCAATTGCATTAACTTGCATACCTTCTCAGAAGCCGACCCAATCCAGATTTCCCCTCCCACCTCTTGAAAACATTTCTTGAAATTCCCAGAAGGTATCCTGGACACCTGCCAGCTGTTTAATTCGGGCTGGGTTGACTTACTCTCCTCCTAAGGTACTTTGTCTTTCTCAGACAAAGTTACAAGAAGACACTTAGAGACCTTCCTGGAACGACCACAGTAACAACAGCAGCTCCTTCCTGCCTTGAGCCCTAGCCTTCCAGGCTCTCAACCCTTTCTTGTTGAGAAAACCCACTGCTAGGAGAGAAGGAGACAACGTTTCCCTCCTCAGGACATTAGTGTTCCAATGAGCCACTGACGTCTCCGAGGCTGCTCATTTGGTTTAAACAGAGAACTTTGCATGAGTAATGGAATCATTTTTTAATGGTGCTGGAGTGTAGCTCAGATCATAGACGCTTGGCCAACAAGCACACAGCTCTGCTTCAGTCCACGGCACCACATGACACCCAGAGGGCTGTGGGATGCGGCAACACTATAGCTTGGGAGGACGGAGAGCCGAGGATCAGAAACTCAGGGTCATCCTTGATAATCAAGGAAGTATGAAGCTAGACTGGACCATAAGAAGACCCTGACTGACAATCAACCAATCAATCACTCATTCAACCAAACAATCAATCAATGGATTGTTTTTCTATAGGAAGTATGAGTTCTTAAATTTACCACCACCCTAAACTTTGCAGGACATTAAATTTCAATAATAGATAAAAGTATTATGTTTAGGGCAGGCATGGAGGGGCATGCCTTAAACCTCAGCACGCAGAAGGCAGAAGCAAATGGATATCTGTGAGTTTGAGCCCAGGTCCTTCGAAACTTCCAGGTGAAGACAAATCAACAGATGTTTTAAATCAACAGTGACAGGGAAAGAACCAAGGGTTTTACCCATAATGGACAAGCACTCTACCAGTGAGCAATGTCCCCGCTCTTAACCCTGGCTAGACAAGCACTCTACCAGTGGGCCTCGCCCCCAACTCTACTTTTGCTTTCTTCTGTTTGTTTTAAGAAAGAATCTTATGGATTCTTACAGTCTGGCTTTGAACTAACTCTGTAGCTTAGACAAGCCTTCAACTAGTGAGTCTCCGGGTTCAGTCTCCCAGCTAGCTGAGTTTACAGGTGCCATGACAACAAGCATTGGGAAATAATGGGTTGTATATCCAAGCTGTGAGGTAAACTAAGCCAAAGGGGAAAGAAGAAAAAAAAATCTAACTGTAAGGACTTCTTCATCCTCCTCCTTCCCCTTTACTCCCCCTCCCTCCTGATTTGGTAACAGCTGGAGGGAACGAGCACGTTCTGGCTGGTTCATGGCAGCCATGTGGTGGGAATGGGGGGTTATAATACTAAGGGTAAGGACTTTGGGGGCAATTATGAGGCTACTATAAATATTGGCTTCCTGTCCTGACAAAACATCTTCAGTGGCTCTTAAGGTCTCCTTAGATCAGTTCCTAGGCTTTGAGAAAACCCTGTGAGTCAGGATACAGATTCCTAGTGGTACCATGGGTCCATCCAGAGTAGAAACAGTGCCATTAACTACAATCTACTCAGTTGCAGAAGCTGTGGTTAGGGCCAGAACACACCTACCACTCACCAAACAGTTGGCTGCTTTTTGTTAAGGATGTGGGCATTTAAATGGATTCCACTCCCTATGTCGTGCACAGGCAGGTTTCCAGTTTTGGAGGGAGAGCCACACTACCTTCAAACTGAAGTAACCTTCGTCATCACCACCATTTCTAATGAGAAACATGTGAGGGAAAGTAACAAAGACACATGTCTTCGAGAGATGGGACAGAGGAGGGCACTGTGGTCCAGGATGTCTGACCAATTCCTACACCCCGCTACAGCATCCAGCTGCTTAGTTAGTATCAATGGACAATGGGTGGCATGCCTACTTTTGTTTAAACCATACACTGCTCACAATGCTCATGCTCCACTCAATGCTCAACGCTTTCTATTTTTTGTGCTTCCAAATGGGTAAAGAGAAAAACCTCACCACACAGTCATATCCTGTCTCTACCCAGCTGCAGGACAATCACTCCAAAATTGGACTAGCTTGCTTCTCAAAGGAAGACAAGGATTTTTGGGACTCTACTGATGAAGAGATCTTGAACAGACCCTGCTTGCAGGCTAAGAGGCAACTGTATCAGCTCATTGAAGAGGTGGGTACTCACAACAGCAAGAACATGAGGTCAAAGGAGAAAGAATTTGCAGACCTTCAAATCTGGAAATCTGTATTTGGCAAATGAAGAAACCAAGTCCCAGGGTGCTTCAGTGATTACCCAGCAATGTGGTGTTCTGTCTGATACTAGGTAGTAGATAAAGCTCTGGCTGACTGTGCAGCGCCTCCTGTAAGTTAGTTAACCTTTGTGTTTACTCTGTGAATGCTGGCACAGACAGGACATGTGCTCAAGGTTGTCCAGTGGTTTTTCTATTCGTTTGTTTGTTATCATTCAGATGATGAAAGAGGCCCAAATGATGATGTGTTCTCTTCTTCCCCCATGGCTGATCTCTAAAATTAAATATACATTTATTTTTTGCACAAATGTAATGAAGAAGAAATGGGGTGAGAGAACAAGAGCTGTGCTGAGAAGTTGAAGGAAGGTGAGGTTATCGAGATTCACTGTCAATGAAAGACAAGTTAGGCAAATGCGTCTGTCAATGGAAGTTGCTTTGCTGGACTCTCTGGCAGAAAGCTCTCTGGTGGCTAGCAGTTCATTTCTCTGAATGTGGTTAACTGATTTTACTTTTAGATTAAGTCAAATCAGTTCCTTCTCTGCCTGCTTTCTCCTGCTATGATGGCATTTACAAATATTTGCCTTCTGCCTTTCTGAAAAGGTCAAATGAAGGCACCGATATTAAAAATACTTTGCAAACAAAGAGGCCCCAAATATGAGATCACCATCTAAGGATAGAATGGGAAATCCCAGTGTGGGAAGACGGATGCTTTATGTCAGATATATTTAGGAGTCTGTTGTTCCTTCCACGGAAACAGTATTGTCCTGATGATCGGGGCCCCAGTGGGTGACTTGCGCACTGTTCTCCGTAGAGTGCAGACAGCAGCTGGAATGTGGCTTCTGTGTCAAATGAACTAGTCTCTTAACTGTGTGAACTCCCTGGCTGGGCCTTGCCAACAGTGAGGAGGTTCAGAAAACGCCCAGGCTTTGGACAGGTGTGAAAGAACCTCAGATTTGGGATTTCCAAAGCCTTTGGCTTAAAGGGTTCAGTGAGTCATCAGGCAGAGACGTGAACTAAGAAGTCTGGAGGCTGAGGTGCTAGCAGGTACAAGGGCCAACCAAGGAAGATATAAGGGAATTAGCATGATAGATTTTTCTATGTCACTCTCCACTAATTCCCTCTACCCTCCCAGACTCATCCTGGATAGCCAGGGTGGAGAGGAACTGGTAGGCAGAGGACATCAAGCAGATGGATGTGAGTGCGTGAGAGGAAATTCATACTCTGCTCAGGCACATTGAGCTCTCTATTTCCTGTAAACATCTGCCCATTGAATTCTGAGAGCAGATACACAGGAAGGAATCATTGCTATGCTTCTTAAACACATAGTTTCAGACAGATAAAGTCATCACAGGTCCGATCAACTAAAGAACGCAAGCCTATTAATGAGCTGCGGGAGGAAAGCCTTGACTCACGGTCACCTGACCTGCTCCTAGTCACTCATACAGAACGACCCTTTCCCTGTCACTTGCTTTCTTCTTCTCTCAATCCCTACATCCTTTTCTTTTTCCTCCTCTGTCTCTCTCCCTTCCTTGTCTCTCTCCCCCTTCTTCCTCCTTTTCTTTCTGTTTTAGAATAAGAGACAGAAAGAGAAACAGAGAAAGGAGAGGTGACTGCTCAAGTCCACCTTACTCCTTGTCCCTTCTCCAGAGCAGGTGGGACCAACTCCAGTGAATGCTGGCTCAGCTGGGGTGAGGGGCTGAAGCAGAGGAAATCAGAAAGCTTCTACTTTATGGTGTATGGGACACAGCTGCTATGTTCCTGACATTTGCAGTGAGGGAGCAAAGGTGGCACAGATCCTGAAAGTGACAAGGGGATGAGTAGAGGGGGTTCAGAAGTCATAAGGACTCAAACTGGGCTCTGCTCCCCAAATAGAAAGATCCAGCATTCTCTTTTGCACTGATTTTCTCCATTGGTTACTGCAAAAGCTGGGCAGGGGGTTGTAAGATGTTTGGCAAGGCATGGGACTTTGGTACCACTACTTTGGGCACAAACTTAGCATTACCAACATTAGAGAATAACATGGTGGTGCCAAGTCAGACATTTATAGAGTGAGCATATCTGTGGGTGTGGTTTAGGTCTACATAATTGGTCAAGATGCTGGGCTCTGTCTTACACACAGATACACAGACAGACAGACAGACAGACAGACAGACACAGAGGGAGAGGGAGAGGGAGAGAAGGAGGGAGAGAGGGAGAGAGAGGGAGAGAAGGAGAGAAGGATGGAGGGAGGGAGAGAGGGAGAGAGGGAGAGAGGGAGAGAGGGAGAGAGGGAGGAAGGGAGGGAGAGAGGGAGAGAGGGAGAGAGGGAGAGGAGAGGGAGAGGGAAAGGAAGAGGGAAGAAGGAACACGGTTATTACCGGCTTCATGGAGCCCTGGAGACATGGTTGACCTTCCTTCCGAGCTGCTCCAAGTACCAGTCATAGCTTTCAGATTGTCCTTTGGTCATGGTATCTCAGGATCAATCCCAGATTCCCCCACAAACTCCTATGCTTAGATAAAAGAACTCCTTCTGTATCGATGTCACTGTACAAGTGTCCTGTTCCATGTCAAAAAGAAAATCTAGAAGCACGTGTATTCTGTTACATTTTTAGGGGCATTAACACTCTTGTCGAATATTATTTGTAGGTGACTTTGAGGACCTTCGAGGAAACCATCTCTACAGTTCCAGGTAGTAATCCTTTGCTGTTTTTATTTGCTGTTGTCTATGTCACAGCTGAATGGCTCTGCAGTCTCCCCTTGCTCCCACATACAAGGAGACACACAGGACCCCCTGCTCACTCACTGTCTTCAGATACTCCTTGAGTTTTTCTATCTTTGCACTGAGGAAAGCTTGGGATTAACTTCATGGCCTCCTTATTGTCAGAACTTCGTTCTCTCTTTCTTTGTCCTTTTTGTCTCCTATGAACTTTCCTTCTACTTCAATTTTTCACTGATTTAATCATTTCACTATAAATAAACCATCTTAAGTATTATCTAGAACTGGGCAGGAAGTAAAATAGATAAAATTTTCAAAAACTATCCACCTTCTCTGCCTCTGACCACAATGCTTTTTGTCACCCCCAACCCCCTCAGTGTGTCAGTCCTCCCCCAGCAAACCATCTACCTACCCATGATCTCATCGGTGCTTCCTCCTGGAAGCCACATGCTCAGCAGCCATTTCTTTAGCCCAGTTCTCACTGTGCCTTTACCCAGGCTTATCTTGCCTGTCATTGGCTCTCCCTCTCACTCTGTCCTGGCTCTTTGGCTCACAGGAGTCTCTTCTTGGCACATTTGTAAGTAAGTGCCTCTGTATCTTGTTATTTCTATCACCCTTTCTTGGCTTGATTGTATTGTTGTACTTTTATATATAATTTTAACCATGTCCTGTTTTCTCATCCATCACATTGAAATTACCATGAATAGAAAATATTCCAAATCTTAATGATATTCTTTACAGGATAGAGATCTTAAAATTAATATTGAAGCACATAAGGTTACACATACCCAAAGCAATCCTGAGCTTAAAGAATGATGCTGGGGGTATCTACCATTCTCCCTGATTTCAAGTTATACTACAGAATCACAACAACAAAACCATCATGGCACAAATGCAAAAATGGACATGTAGATCAATGAAATAGAATAAAGGAAATAGTCATAACCCACAAAGCTACAAATACCTCATGTGGTGGTTTGAATATACTTGGGCCAGGGAGTGACACTATTAGGAGGTGTGGCCTTGTTGGAGTAGGTGTGGCCTCATTGGAGGAAGTGTGTCACTGTGGACATGTGCTTTAAGACCCTTATCCTAGCAGCCTGGAAGCCAGTCTTCTCCTAGGAGCCCTCAGATGAAGATGTAGAACTCTCAGCTCCTGGACCATGCTTGCCTGGGTGCTGCCATGCTCCCACCTTGATGATAATGGACTAAATCTCAGAACCTGTAAACTAGCTCCAATTAAATGTCATCCTTTATAAGACTTGCCTTGGTCATAGTGGCTATTCACAGCAGTAAAACCCTAACTAAGACACCTGATTTTTGACAAAGAGGTCAAAAATACACTTTGGATAAAAGTCTCTTCAACAAACAATGCATGCATCCACAATAGAAGAGGAAAAGTAGATAAACAATCAAAGACCCTAATATAAAACTTGAAACTACCAGAGGAAAAAATGATAAACATAGGCAAGGACTTTCTGAAAAGGACTCTGGTCACACAAGATGCCACCAGCTGACAAATTGGACTTCATGATATTAAAGCACTTCTGTACAGCAAAAGACATCATTTATTGAAGGAATAGACAGACTACAAAATGGGAAGAAATCTTTGCTAGCTATACATAGCCATATTATATATATATATATATATATATATATATATATATATATATATATATGTGTGTGTGTGTGTGTGTGTGTGTGTGTGTGTGTGTATGTATGTATATACATATATACATATAGCTATACATAAGATAGAGGGTTAATATCTAGAATGCACAAAAAAGCTCAGAGCACTCCAGAATTCACATGACCCATCCAATAAATGAAGAGACAGTTCTCAAAAGATGAACCACAGTTTCTAGTAACACAGGAAATACATGTTCATCCTCACTAGCCATTAGAGAAATATAAATTAAAACACTGACATTTCATCTTGCCACAGTCAAAATGGTGAAAGCACTGGTGAAAGTGGGAGCCCTTCAATACTGCTGGTGGAAATGCTGATTAGTCCAGCCAATATGGAAACAAGCATGGTGTTTCCACTGACAAATGGGACTTCATGAAATTAAAGCACTGATACTTCATGGTCCCCTGAAAATACCAAAGTGAATCTTCCACATGACCCAGTGTGCATAAAGAATACTAAATCAATATATCAGAGACACTTGCATGTTGATGCTTAGTGTGACTCTATTTAAAATAGGTAAATGTGTCACCAATTTATGTGTCCTATGAGAGAGGAAGGGAAGACAGAATGTGGTATATACACAGTGGGACTTTCTCAACAAACTGTAAAGAATGAAGTTTTATTATTTGTGGGAAAATGGATGAAAGAAGAGATATTAAGTGAACCAAACTCCTCTCAGAAAGACAACTATTGCATGATTTCTCTTATGCATAGACTCCAGTTTATATAAATACACACAATCATATCCATATATATATATATATATATATATATTTTTATATATATATATATATATATATGACATGAAGATAGAAATGAAACCATTGAATCGAAGGAACTAACAGGAGGTGGGAGGTAGGCAGGAGGCAGGGGGATGAGGAATCTGTTTAATGTATACTGTGTATTTGTATGACAGTGTTCTTAAGGAAGACAGAACCATTGTACCATGAAAAAATATGTATAATAAAAAAATTAAAGATTCAGATTTTTGCGCTCAAATCCAGGCTTCTCTATATACAGCAAATGCAAACTGGATCTGTCTATTTAAAAGCAAAGGATTAAAGGGTTAGGTGGAGGCATGCCGTGACCCAGGTAACCGTGAAGGTCAGTGGCGAATGGACACATCGACCTTGACATTCTGAGACTAATTGTAATCGACTCTGCAGCTCCACCTCAGAGTTGCTCTTTAATATTCTCCCAACAGGCAACCACTCTTAGGAATTCACGTGGCTGCTTCAGGAGTCATGCTGGCGCTGGAATGGTGCGGGGCTTACCTCGGCTCTTGTCTGAACATCACACACATTTGGGAGATGTTCTAGATTTTCAAGAATTCTGAAAGCTATAAGAAAGAGATCCCAAGCTCCTCAGAAAGGTCAATCCATCAGAAAACTGCTGGCCTCTCAGCAGAAACCCTGACGGCCAGGAGGTCAGGGCTGATGCTTTCCAAGCCCCAGAATAAATAAAGTAGGTGCCGATCAAGACCACTATATCTAGGTCCAACAGGGTGGTTTAGCTGGTAAAGGAGCCAACAATCTCAGTTAATCATAGAATTTACATGATAAACCAATTTAAAGAGTTGTCCTCTGGCCTCCACAAGCATACAGCAGAATACACACACACACACACACACACACACACATGCACACAGGGTCAGGTGTATGGTTAGTGTTTAGTGTTTTCAGGGCCTCCATACTTGTTTCCCTCTTGGCTGGACTATTCCTCCTGCAGTGTAGAAGGGCCCCTACTTCCCCAGTGCTTGCTGTTAAGTCCCAGTTTGACTGGGGTGACGTGATACACACATACATCTGCACTGTCAGAGCTGTGAGGGAGAAGAGATCAGCAGCCACCAGCAGGGCTTCCGGCTCTGAAGTGGAGAGTTAGACGGAGCAAGACACCTGCCATGCTCCGCTGACCTCTGCACGTAAGCACATGATTCATGCATTCTCCATTCACACCACCTCTCCATCCATCCATCCCTCCCCACCATGCTCCTTTCAGAGCCATGTAGAGTCTATTAGGTTTCTTCGAAGCTCAAGAGAAATTTTTGCTTTGAGAAGAAAACGTGGCTTCCTAAAATAACAAGAACAGAATTAATGGTGATTTATAACTAATACCAGATAAACAGAAATGGCTTTTTCTTTCTCATTCACTGCCTACCTATGAAAACTTACTGTTTTCTTTTGCTTCTTGAGCTTCCAACCTAAAGAGTGGACCAGTGTTCAACCTTGTAACTTGCCTAGTAGCCTCCGGCCTCTCTCCCTCTGCCCATAAAACTAGACCTTGACATAAGTTGACCTGAAGCATGAAACTTTTTTTTTACCCCTTTCAGTGTCTTGGGGAGGCAGCCTAAGTCTTATGTACTTGGTTTTCTTCAAGTTAGACCCGCATTTCTTTCCTTTCTTCTGCCCTGGGGCTTGACTTTAGCTCTCTGGAAATATCTCTCTTCCAATTAACTGAAAAGTTCTTAACAGCATCTCCTCAGCAAACCCTCCCCTGACCTCAGCTCTCCAATAACTAGGACTCTGTCCTTCCTCTGCTTAGGGGTACCTCTTACCTCTCCTTCTCATAAATAGTTATTTTATTTTCCAATTGGTATCTCTCATAAAATACAGTAAGTTCCTTGAGGACTCAATGGAATCAATGGTTAATCTATATAGCTCTGCATACTGTGGCATAATTTCTTGTCCTTGCCAATATTTGATTGTTGATAGTATATAATTTATCTTAACCAAACGGAGGGAGGAGTGGGGATTTGAAGCTAAATTATAAGAGACATTATTGAATACGATTTATATTATGCATGTACACATGTTATGTATAGGTGTGTGTTATACTTCAGAGGTCAGAAGAGGTTGTCATGTATTTTCCTTTAAGAATTTCTGCCTATTCGCTTTAGATATGGTCTCTCGTAGAGAGACCTGGGGTTAGGATGGCAGCCAAACAACCCAGCTCTCCTCTTGTCTCCACTGATTCTTCCCCATGCCTTTCTCCTGGGGATACAGCATGTGGCCATGCCTGAGTTTTTAGGTGGGTGCTGAGAATCTAAACTCTGATCCTCTTGTTTGCCCTGGAACTGGAGTTACAGACCAGTGTGAGCAGTCACGTGGGTGGTGGGCTCAAACCCAGGTCTCCTGGAAGAGCAGCCACCTCTCCAGCCCCACTATTTGGGCTGTTTTATGAAAGCATAGGATCAATTTGGGAAGGCCCTGTGCTCAGGATGCCTGGGCAGACACAACTGTGTTGTAAGCTGAGCAGTGTGTTTGAGAAGCATCTTGACAAACGCTGATGTTTTCCTGTCATGTGTCTTTTAGAAAAGCAGCTAAGTACTCCTCCCTTGCCCAGAGGTGGAAGACCTCAGAGAGTGGCAGCTCACATTACAGGGATCACTCGGAGAAGCAACTCAGCCTTAATTCCAAGTAAGATCATGAGGGCTGGGGTAGGGGCTGGCAGCAGGGTGGGGGCGGGGATGATACCTAGCGTTTGTGAGGCTCTGGAACTATTGAAAGTAGTTTAACTTCTATCTGAAATATCTCTATGACTCTAAGTGCTCAACAGTGATCCAGTCTCAGATGACTGTTCTGTGAAACAAGAAGACATGGAAAGCTTGCTAACTCTGCTATAGCTGGCCTCAGGAAAAGTGTGCATGAGAGAACACTGTGTCCTACTGGGCCACCTTTGTTGCTGCTGCTGCTGTTGCTTGCATCTTCTCCTCCCCTCCTCCTTCCCCACTACCCCATATTTCCCCTCTTTTATTGAAACAGTGGTTCATGGAGCCTAGGCTGGCTTCAGAACTTCAACCTCTTCTGTCTCGAGCTCCCAAGGGCTGGGATGCCAGGCACCACCACACTCAGACTTTTTTAATCTTTAAAGTAATTCTCTCTCTCTCTCCCCCACCCCCTCTGTTTTTCTCTTTCTGTCTCCCTCTACCCCTCTCCCTCCTCCCGTCCTCCATCCCTCCTCCCCTCCATCCCTCTGCCTCCTCTTCTTGTATAAACTCTTCCATCTCAAAACTTTGAATCCACAGCCTTTGCCCTCACCACAGTCTAATCCACAGCCTTTGTCTTCACCATAGGGCACTAGGACCTCCCACCACAGGGACACCTTTGAACCACAGGGAACCTTGAACCTTTGGTGTGTGTGGGTGTGGCATAGCTGGCAAGAGGGACAGACAGCAAGGAGATCAAAATGATCCAGGAGCCTCCCCATTTTCACATGATTAGCCTTTGTGGTCCGTGTCAGATGAAAAGTGTAAGATGTTAGATTTTGGATCAGCACTGTGTGCAAGCCCAATGAAAAGACTGACTGTGTGGAGCAGCTGAGGTATCTCCTCTCTTTGATGTAAACTTCCTCCCGCTAACCGTTTCTTTCGTTTCCATGTAGTCTCCAAAGATGGAAAGACCTTGGGCCAGAAGATAGAATCCTGGGAGTCGTCTCGGAAAGGGCATTCGTTTCTCAACCATGTGCACTTGAGGAATGGAGAGCTGGTCATCCAGCAGCAAGGCCTGTATTACATCTACTCCCAAACTTACTTCCGATTTCAGGAGGCTGAAGAAGCTTCCAAGACAGTCTCAAAGGACAGAGGGAGAGTCAAACAGATGGTGCAGTACATCTACAAATACACCAGCTACCCTGATCCCATAATGCTGATGAAGAGCGCCAGAAACAGCTGTTGGTCCAAAGATGCCGAGTACGGACTGTACTCCATCTATCAGGGGGGACTGTTTGAGCTCAAAGAAAATGACAGGATTTTTGTTTCTGTGACGAATGAGCATTTGATGGACCTGGATCAAGAAGCCAGTTTCTTTGGAGCCTTTTTAATTAACTAAATGACCTGCAAAGATCAAACACAGCCCTAAAATACCCAATGATCTTCTAGGTTGAAGGCATGCCCAGAAGCGACTGAACTGGTTAGGGTATGGCCTGGCTGCTGAAACCTCAGGACAGATGTGACAGAGAGGCAACTGGAACACAGCAGCTGCAGGCCAGCTGCAGACACTTTCAGTGTTTCATCCGAGGCACTTGCTTTATTCCCCCGAAATGAGATCACTATAGCCTTTTAATGATCCACCTGGTACCAGTTTGCAGAGATCTAGAAGATGTCCAATTTCTAAATATTTATGCAACAATTGACAATTTTCACCTTTGTTATCTGGTCCAGGGGTGTAAAACCCAAGTGTTCCAGAGCTGTATGCAGACTATGAATGCAGGTCAGCATAAAAATCACAGAATATCTCACCTATAACATGAGAGAGAGAGAGACAGAGAGAGAGAGAGAGAGAGAGAGAGAGAGAGAGAGAGAGAGACAGAGAGAGACAGAGAGAGACAGACAGAGAGAGAGAGACAGACAGAGAGACAGAGAGAGAGAGTCTGTGCGTGTGACTGTTCTTTATGGTGACTGGTTATGCTTTTCTCAAGTGTAAACTCTACATAATAACATCATGCCTCACCATCAGTGGGCACCTTGCCCAAAGAATATGTGAAATCTCCAGGCAATGAATGAGGGCAGCCCAAGAAAGAGGCACATAGAGTCATACAGCAGGGCTGCCCCAGCCTGCTGGAGCTCAGATCCTCCCACCACATGCCCTGGGTGCAGATGTAGAGTTGAAGGAGGGTCTTGCCTTGTAAGTCTTTGGTGCCTCCCTCCTTGATCTGCTTCCGGTCCTCCTTTGCTTGTTTGCTAGTTTTGAGGCAGAGCATCATGTATCCCAGGATGGTCTCAAATGCAATATGTAGTCAAGGGCGATCTCTAACTGTGCAACCTCCTGCCTCCAAGACTTGCTGAGCTTATAGGCATGCGCCACCCTGCCCGGTTTGTGTAGAGCCAGGCTTCTTGTACTCATGGCAACCACTCCACACTGAGCTTTGTCACAGCCCCATTCCTTCCTTTTCTGAATGGAAATACTTTGTGTCCCTATATCCTAGAAGTAGCAACGTTCAGCAGCGCAGAATTTACCTTGATTTTCAGGATCAAGTTTGGACTAGGTTCAACATGCTTGCTTTGTCCAGAAGACAGCTGTCACCCCCAGTTCTCTGGCTCTTACATCTGTCCACTCCACCTGCTAAGATGTTGAACACATGTTCTTTTTAAGATGTTGGTGCCTGGAGTTTCATTAGAGTAACACAAAACTGACTAAAACCAAACAACAACAACTCCAAACAAGCCCATATGATGTGTTTTAATGAAACATTTTTTTTTAAAGCTTATTGGGGGCCTGGAGAGATGGCTCAGAGGAAAACAGCACTTCCAGAGGACCCAGGTTCAGTTCTCAGCCCTGATGTGATAGTTAACAGCTGTAACTCCAGTCCCAAGGGATCTGACTTTCTGGCCTTTACAGGCAATACATGCACACGATACAGACATACAGTCTGACAAAATACCCATATACAAAAATAAGTGTTTTTTAAAAAAGCTTATTTGAATGTAAGAGTAAGGCTAGCTGTCACTTCTGATACCTCTTCTTATTTTTTATGACTCAAGCCCTTATAAACTAGCAAATAGATGTCCCAGCTACCACTTGAATATAAGCGCTTGAATACCTCCTTTCACTAGAATAGAAGCATTTTAATACTAAAACGCAGAGTAATAATAAAAATTTTGCCTAGAATTATAGCCCTAGTACTTAGTAAAGTACTTGTATGTCATGTCTACATAAACCAAATGAATGTATTAATTAAAAATAAACATAATGATCACATGGGAAACACTATGAGAAATAGTGGAGAACATTTGAAAGCTCACAAAAGGCACTTGACAACCTGAATTTGACCCTTGGCACTTCCTTAGTGGGAGAGAACCTATTCCTACAAGATGTCCGCTGACCTCCACACATGCGCAGTGACACACACACACACACAGAGTCACGGCAGGGCTAAGAACTAAACCCAGGGTCTTCCTCCCAGTAGGCATGTGCCTCACACTGAGTGGCACCGTAAATGCAGCCTTAAGGTTTTAAATGGCAGACATAACTGAGTGTTCTTTTAATTCCTGGTCCCTAAGTCATCACTGAAGGAAAAATTCACAGCACTTCCTCTTGTTTGCCAGGCTGTAAAGCGAAATGGTATCTAATTTCTAGTTTTCGTGTTGAATACATACATTCTTTGTGTGCTGTTCCTGTATGGTCAGTCTATACTGGACTCTCCTGTGGAGCAGTTTATAATGCTCATGCCTGGAGTGAACCACAATCCAACAGGATCCGAATCTTGGAGTGGCGATCAGAGATCTTTGGTGTGTGCATCTTTAATTTCTTTCAAGTAATGAGCAGGTAGCCAGTAGGACACATATTTGCCAAAATGTCAAATGCTGTGATTTAGAAATTAAATATTTAAGAATGTAACATGCTCAGACAAATCATGTGAAACATTAAACTCCATGACTTGTTTAAACAAGCACACCTAAATATTCTGTCTTCTGCTAGAATCTAAAGCCTAAGACACAGGAAGCAACAGTTGAGAGAATATTCTAAAATGATAACTTTCTGGGCAATTGTAAGTCCTTTTTAAAAGGCATGAATATTTATCTGTTTGAAAAGGAAATCAATTTTGGGTAGGGGAGGGGGTTGTTCTTTCCTTGTTGAGTTCCAGCCCAACAAACCATCTGACTTAAGACTAAGACAAACCTGCCACCTGGCTAACTCAGACTGGGGACCTGGGTGAGCACAGGGACAATGATCTCAGGGGAGAGGTCAGCTCTACTGTTTTGGAGCAGAAGTGTCTAGGCAAAGGCTTCTTTTCAGACCAAAAAGGGTCACTTTAATGTCACACACCATGAGTGCCACCAGGTGGCGAGTTTCCCTTAATTTCCTCAGTATCAAGTCTTTTAAAGGTGTATCAAATTCTCAGGTATAAAATAAAAAACGAAGAAAGATTGGTTACCTTAGGACCATAGGCAATTGGAGGTAAAGACAAGAAATAAGGTCCTGTATCCTGATGGAGCGCCAGCCTTTAGCTGAATCTGTGAGGAACAGGGTGGGACTTCACATGGTAAAATGCCAGTTTTCCTTTATTTGGTTGGTTGGTTTTGATTTTTCAAGACAGTGCAGTTTTAACTATCCTGGAACTTGAGACCTCAAACTCAGAGATTTGCCTAGCCTCTGGCTCCAGACCTCTGAAATTAAACACACGCCACAATGCTTGTTCTAATTGCTTTTGCATTGGGTTCTAGGTCATGCTGGTCTTTCTTCCTAAAAGCCCTTAGAAAGCCGTACTGAAGACGATCTAGTTACAATACATAGACAGGGAGAAAGCAATGAGATTCCGAGTCTTCCTGTTCTGTGTCAAATCAATCCACAAAACACCTGAGATCATGAAATGTAACCTCTAGATCTTGCATAATAATATTTTGAAGAGAGTTTCACCACAGGCTTCCTGTAAGAGTAAGTTTGGGTTCCGTATTAAGAATCTGAGGTGTGTTCTTTTGTTTGCTTGGGTTGTTGTTGTTATTTTGTCTTGTTTTTTTTTTTTTTTGTTTTTAAGTGAAACAGAATTTAAGTTGACTTTTGTAAATTCTATTTGCTCCCAAGGGAGGACTCTGTGAAGTCTGGAGTCTCAACAATTTGTCTTTTGTCCTGCCTCCTGTTATCATAGACTGTGGCCTTCGCCACTCCATCACTGCCTACTGTTTTTCTTGGAGACAGAGTCTCTCCCATTACTGGCAACCAGCAGTGCACTGAGATTCTCCTGACAGGTGGCCATATGGGTTTTTTACATGGACTCTGGGGATTTGAACCTGGGTTCTCATGCTTGAGCCACAACTGCTCTTACCTCTGAATGGTCTCCCCAGCTCAATCGCTGCTACTTTTTTTTCTTGGCAAATCAATTCAATTCTGTAGTTTTCTTCCAAGTATTATTTTAACTATTTACTATAGATTGGCATATAACACTTTCATTATCAATGTCAGAAATTTTGTTTAACCAGCTTTTATTTTATTTTTTTACTTACTCTTGAAATAAAGGGATAAATAGATATTTTCAGTTGTGAGACATGAAAGTATTAAAGAGAATTTTTCTTCTTTCTTTCTTTTCTTTTTTTCTTCCATGTTGATAGCAGTGAAACCAGAAAGAAAATTAACTGTGATGGTGATTATTTCAAATGTATTCATACTATTTTGTGGGCTGGGAAATGTTAAACTTTGTAAACTCTGACACACACAAAGTAATACTTTGAATTTCACCTTAATGAAAATAAAAGCAAATACATCCAGTGCATTCTCTTCTCCCTCTCTCCCTTCAGCCCATGTAAGCTGCCCTGTAAGGTACAATTGTCTTTTGTCTACTAAGACTGATGATTCTGATTTCCATTGTTTGATATTTTCCTCTTACTTTTTTTTTTATTGTGAATTGCTCTTTATACCTTTGGGCTCAATGAGTTACACCTTTGAATTATATAGTGCTGACACACACACTGTGTCATCCATCTGAGGGTCTCAGAACTTATTAGTGAATTTAACCCATTTTTACTTATTGTAAAAACTGTAACACAGGAGCTCATTTGTATCTTTGCCCCCTGTTTAGTTTTCACTGTGTACTTTTCCCTCACTTTCCTAGCTTCCATGGGATAATCTTAATGCTTTTAAGGTCATGTCTTAGTTAACTTTCCTGTTGCTGTAATAAAAGTAACAAATGTAACTTTTGTTGAGTTGAGAAGACAAGGATAATCCAGGACCTAGGGTATGAGAGTGGGAGAGCTGCCCCTGCCCTTGCCAGCTGCAGCATTATTGGTTGAACTAGCCAGGGCAGTGCTGGGAAAGAAAGGGAGAGAGAGTTTTGTCTATAGTTCAAGTTACAGACCACTGTTGCTGGAAAGTCACAGAGGCAGGAGCTTTTGAGAATTGGGAAAATCCACAGTTAATAACAGAAAACAGTGGATTAAGGCATACTTGATAGTTCTCATTCATTTTCTTTATTTTTATACAGTTCAGGATCCAGAGCACAGGGAATGGTGCCAGCCATATGGACAGGTCTTCCCTCATTAACTAACATAGTTAAGATAGTCCTTTCCAGACATTCCCACATTCTTGGAGGTCCATCTTCCAGGTGATTCTAGATGATTTCCAGTGACAGTTAAAACCATCACAGGTAACTTTACAACTTTAAGGGTTTTGTTTTAAACTTTTCATTGGTTCCTTGTGAATTTCCCATCATGCATCCCAGTCCTACTCATCTCCTTTTCCCTTAGTATCTACCCTCTGCTCTTGCAACCTCCCCTGTCCACCAACAGAGAATAAAAACAAAACAGAACAAAAAACCAAAATAAAACATAGAAAACATCTTGTTACGGAAGCTGCAGTGTGTCACAATGTGTGCACAGTATACCCTTTTGCCCACACATCTTTACTTGCAAATGTTTGTTGCAAGGAGCCATTGGTCTGCTTTGCAGCCTCTGGCTTCTGCTACACTATCAATACTGGATCCTCACAGGGACTCCTCTTTGTTATCCTGTTGTTGCCTGTGTCATGGAGATCTTGCAGCTTTGAATCTCCAAGACAGGTCCTTTCACGTGCTCCAACAGTTCATAGATCTGGTAGATGTTGGGGTGGGACAACTCAAAGCCCTGGATCTGGGTCTGGGTGGTAGCTGAGTTGGTCAGCCCACCAGCTCTCCTGTACCCACACTGCTAGGTCAATCTCTCCAGCACTGCCTGACTAGTTCAACCAATGCTCCAGCTGGCAAGGGGCGGGGCAGCTCTCCCACTCTCATACCCTAGGTATGGGCTTACCCTTGTCTTCTCAACTCTACTGTGTCACCCAGGTAAAGTGAAGAGCCCACTCTCCTAAACCCTGCAACCAGTGAGGAGCAGGACCTAACCCTGACTGCCTCAAGGGACAAGGAGGGAGGGGAGAAAAAGATTTGATTTTAATACCTGATATGTTTTTCTTATAAGACCAATAGTTAAGTTTATTTTTTTGTCTAAGTTTAAATGTTATTAATCTTTGAATCACCAACTCTTATCTCTCTACCCCATACAAATGAAAAACTCTGCAAGTTTCTTGTTTTTCACTGAGGTATCTCCATATTGCTGTTGAAACCATCAGTCTTATTGCTATTGTCGCTATTGGGGGTATTGCTTACTCAGACTTTAATACGAGAGATATTCCTGCAAGTCAGAGCGATGGATTCCTACATTGTTCTGATCTTACACCATCCCAGAGTTAGCACTGCAGACTTTGTTCACTGAACTCAGAGAGAAAGAAGCAACCAGTGAGAGATCTTTTTCAACCCACCTCTCATCAGTGACATGGGTGCTGTCTTAAAATTTCTCCCTAACCCCAGACCTGAGCAACCTCTAATACAAGGAGAGCACCTCTTACACTCATATTGATCTCTGAACATGGTTGAAATCACCAATCTCTTTACTACCCCTGAGGCATGGCAGTACTGGGATGGGACCAGCTTAGGGGGCAGAGTCTGGGATCTGTGTTAGTTGCTATCTTGCTTGAAACTGTGAATCTGGTTTATGTTCTTCTCAAGCTTATTAGGAGACTCAAGAGAGACTACATGTTCAAGTTCTGAAAAACCACATTACATAAGTGTCTGCAATGTATTGTGGAGAGGTCTTTCTTTTCCTCACATTTTAAATGGATAAGAAACTTGGAGAGATGAAAATGTTAACTATTTCATTATAGCAATTTTGAACTCTTTTTAGCTGTCAGACTTTAAGGTGAGAGTCATATTCATGACTAAAGCATTACAACAAGCTTCTTCACTTCCATCCCTAGTTAAAGTTGTAATTTAATTTCTTTTTTTAACAAATGGACAAAAGAATATAGAACATAAAGGCCCGGGGCCTGGAAAAGTTCCATCTGAGTGCATTTCCCTCTTTTATGTTTCATTGACAACAGACTCCAGGGAGAAAATCGCTACACAGATTACTTGTACTTGAACATGAGCACAGACTTCATTAGGGAGATGATAACTGGGACCTTCTTCTCCTTATTATCTTCTCTAGAACAGGCTGTCTTTAAAACCAGCAAGGGGCGTCAAACAAGCAGAACACTCACGATTTCTTAGTGACTTTTCTTGCTGCTAGGACAGGACACCTGATGACAGCAAGGGATGAAAGGAAGAGCTGATTCTGCTGCAAGTCTGAGCCTAGAGTCTGTCGTGGGGAGGAAGCCACAAAGGAGGCTCCTGTTTGACCAGATGGGGGAAAGGGGGCAACAAGTCATGTTGTTTCCAGAGGCAGGAAGAGGGGAGTGACAACTGTTCTTACCCAGCTCCCTTCCTCCTTTTTGTTCAGTCTGGGACTCCAGCCTGTGGCATGGTACCACCTCCATTTAGGGTAGATCATCTGACCTCAATTAACTTAATCTAGAACAATCTCTCTGCTGTCCTCAGAGATTTGCTCCCATAGCAATTCCAAGTTGTGTAAAATTGTCAAGATAGATCATCACAGCAATAACAAAAACTTCTCTCTAGCTTTCAAAATGTAGGGTTATTTATGTGCCCTTTCATGTGTTCTCTCATTAAAGAACTAAATCAAATAAGTATAAAAACATACAATATTCTCTTATTGTCCATAAATTATTACTAAATAAAATGTAGATAGTGTTTGTTGGAAAATTATGGAAAATAATTTTCTACATTCTTCACCATGTAACAAGATAACAAACACATTATTCTTTGTAATAATATGATAGCAAAATGTAATAACTTTCTATATTTTAATGAGAGAAAATTATAATAATTTTCTATACAATAATATATATTATAGATAATATAGACATACATAATATATACAATAGACCACATAAATATAATAATTTTGGGGTCTTAAATTCTATATTCTAACAAAAAAACTCAATAAATTGACCTACATTAATAAAGAGACTTTTAAAATTTGGAGATAGAATCTCTATGGGGTCCAGGTTGGACTTTTACTCACCTTTCAAGTGTTGATTAGTGGCCGGTGCCTAAGCCTTTTTTTTTCCCCCAAGAAACCTGGAAGCACTTTATCTTACCACACTTCTTATGGGATTTAAAAGAATTCTTCCTCCTTCTCCTCCTCTTTCTCCTCCTCTTTCTCCTCCTCTTTCTCCTCCTCTTTCTCCTCCTCCTCCTCCTCCTCCTCCTCCTCCTCCTCCTCCTCTTCTTCTTCTTCTTCTTCTTCTTCTTTTTCTGGTGGTTATGTACATGGAGACAGACTTCTGTACATGGAGAGAGACTGTTATCAGAGGTGTTAGGGTCAAGGCCTCCCCCTCCCTAACCCACAACCCTAACAAGCTAGACCTACCCAGCCATCCTCAATAGCTCATGAAGCAGGCGCTGGTGAGGCAGATTTATCCAACATGGTCACACTGAGAAGAGGAACAGGTGTCCAACTTTGGGGTCCAGAGGGAAGACTTAGGTTTAATTTAGAGAATAAGAATTATGTGTAACTAAGGAATCTTGGTCAAGCTCAGGTCCTGACCATCATTACTGTCTGGGCTCCAGTCCCTCCTATAAGGTCTGACACCTAGTCAGAAGGTATGACATTTTGCCCCCAAACACAAGCTCCTCCCCTGGCTAATGCCAAGCTCTCAACCTCTTCCTTGCCCCAGCATGAGGTTTCTTGGGACATTCCACTATCTTGGAGTTCATTGTCTCTACAGCCAGACAGCTGAAGGGCAAGCACAAGTGTCTCTTTTAGAATATCTTCATCCTGCCAAGCTCTTATAAAGGTCAGAAGTAAAAGCATCCCACTGCTTCTCCTTAACCGGCTTGGACGGGTGGAGAGGCCTAGGTGCGCTCAGTCCACAGCAGTTTAGGGTAAGTGCTGAGTTGGTGTCATTCCAGCATAACCAGCAGAAGGCCTAAATCAGCTTTTACTCAGGGTACAGAAAGTCCAGGGTAGGACAACTGTGTCTTTGTGTCCCTGCTCCTTGCCAATGTTGAGGCGAGGCAGGCACCTTTTGTCTCCCCGTGCACTTTGTGCTCCCCGTTAGGTTTTGATGGCAGGATGATGACAGCTGCTCTTGATGGCAGGATGATGACAGCTGTTCTTGCAGCTCTTCACTACATGGGCAAAGCTCTTTGTACAACTTTCTGTGAAGGAGGGAAACTTCCCAAATAGTCAGAATTCAGACTTACAGGCTTGCTCATCCCTAATCTTTCATTGGCAAGTTCAGTGACATTGGGGTGGGTATAGATGAATCAAGATGACCCTTCCTTGGTCAGAAGAAGGTGCCAAGAATTTCTCAAGTGCTATCCTAGTTGCATTTCTGATGCTG